CTAGAGCAGCTGGGAAAAGGGTGTGGCGTGATCCTGTTGTGAGGGCCTGGGAAGAAGACTTCCTGCTCTCACTGAGGTGTGAGTGGAAGTCCCAGTGACTGTCATTTATAATTCTACCCTGTCCCCTCCCTCACTGCCCAACAGCCTCTCTTCTTACAGACCCAGTGCCATCCCTGACCTCCATCCAGCTGCTGGAGAATTCCATGCCTATTACTTCCCAGTATTGTGTGCCAGAGGATGCCTGCAGGTAGGCTGGGCTCCCTCTGGCCACTCCTAAGAGGGCCCCTCAGGTGCCATGAGTCTAAGGAGTTTGGATGCTCAGATCGTGGCCCCTTGGGGAGGAACTTTTCCCACAAGTTTGGGCAGGGCTTCCGTACAGAAGGAGGCTGAGGAAGAGAGAGGGGAGGCTGGCGAAGTGGCCTTGCTGAGGTACCATCTTTGCCCCTGTAGGCTTGGAAACTTCACCTACCACATCCCTGTCAGCAGCAGCACGCCCCTGCACCTCAGCCTGACCCTGCAGATGAAGTGAGTGCTGGTGTAGGGGAGGGAGGGAACCATGAGGAAGCCTCCAGAACCTCGGAAAAGTCAAAGCTGAGTGGTCCCTATGTTTCCTACCCGGGGGGCCCAGGCTGCCTGGGGAAGGGCTGCCGAGGGGTTATACGCCCCTGCCTCACTGGGACGACACGGGATGGTGGGTGGGACTGGCTGTGTGGGAGATGGGGACCCCATTGCATTAACCCACTTACTCCCTAGTTCCTCTGCCCCTGTGTCCGTGGTGCTGTGTAGCCTGACGTCAAAGGAGGAGCCCTGTGAGGAGGGGGGCTTTTTGCAGAGGCTCCACCCCCATCAGGACACCCAGGTAGGGGCAGGGAGGAAGCTGTGCACTGGTCAGGGCTCAGACCTTCCTCTTCTCTGGGTAGTGATCACCAGATGATGGAAAGCAGAGTGCTAGGGTGTCTACTGGAACACACCCAGCTGGGCTCCTGTGTCTGGGGGACGGGGCCATGCGTCTCGGTCTTCATTCATCCATTCTGTTGGGCATCTCCATCTCCTGTGACAGTGGCCAAGGGAGGAGAGCTTATAGGGACTGATCTGGGATGAGCATGTAGTGCCCACTGCAGGCAGAGCTGAGCTCCCCCCCCACACCCCCTGGGAGGCAAGTGTGGAGTCCACAGCCCTCAGACTCAGGGCAAGGCAGTGATTGACAGACAATGTTAGAAGAGCCCTGGGCTCAAGGTAGAAGGCTTCCTTGAGGTCCTGTTGCAGCCCAGCTCATGGCGATGTTTGCTCAGTTGTGTTTATTCAACAAGTATCTGTTCAGGCCTCTCTTGTCTCCTTTCCTGAGCTTCCAAGAACCTGTTCTCCAGGGAGGGAGAGAAGACATGCATAAAATACCTTGAGCTGAGGAGGGAGTAGATGAGGGTCCCAAGGGAGGAGAGGAGATCCATGGCCTTACAAAGAGGGACACTTAAGAGCAGAGGGACAGCCCATGAGTCACTTTTAGCAGTGGGGCTCTGGCTTAAACCCATACAACACAGGCCAAGTCAAAGCCTTAGGTAAGACAAGTAAGCTGTTCATGGTCCCCATGCCATACTGTGATAGATAGTCACAAAGACCTGGGGTCGAACCCAGCTCTGCCATATGTGCATCTTGAGGGAGGCAAGTGACGGTTTCCTGTCTGAGATGCAGATGTTAGCAGTTGTGGGCAGGGTTAATGAGATACTTGCACAAGCCTAGCGCACAAGGAGCTACAAGACAAAGGGAGGCCAGGGCTGGGAAAGGCAGGACGTGGAGGGTGGCTGCCCCTGCTCTAAGTGGAATATGCTCACCCTGGGCTGTAATAGCCATGGTGAGAAGGGTGATGGTTAGGACAAGGCTGCCCTGACCTTTCTCTTCCTTCTCTCTCGAGGGCACCTCTCATCGGTGGCCAGTGACCATCCTGTCCTTCCGTGAATTCACATACCACTTCCGGGTGGCATTGCTGGTGAGCACACAGGCCCTTCTGCCCACAGAGGCAGAGGGCGCGTCTATGCCGTGTGGGGCTTGGGAGAAGAATGAGGGCTTTGGGAAGCATGGTGGGGCTTGGGGCAACCACCTCCCCCATCCTCACATCCCTTCCGCACAGGGTCAGGCCAACTGCAGCTCAGAGGCCGGCATCCAGCCGGCCACAGACTACTACTTCCATTTCTACCGCCTGTGTGACTGAGCTGTCTCCCGAGGCGGTGCCACAGCTGGGATCGGTTCCCCTGGGCCCTCAACACTGGATGCCAATGTGTTACACTGGAGCCGGCTGCAGGCCAGCTTTCTGCTCTTCCCTGCCTCCCCTTGACTGGGGAGACTGGAAATCTTCACACTGGAGCTGCTGGGCAAGCTGGTCACCCTCACACAGCACAGAGGGGGCTAGAGTGACCAGCATCCTGGGCCCTCCTTCTGGCCACCTCCTTGGGGCAGCACAGGACCAATTCATGGCTGTCTAGATATGGTTGCTGGAGGGCTGGGTGCAGGGCCCTGTAGGCACGGGGAAGCTACGGCCCCGACTGGTCCACTCCCTCCCACTCTCCTTGCCTTTCCTTATGAGCTGTGGTGGAGAGAAGGCCTGTGGGGGTTGGACCCAGACCTGTAACACCTAGCTGGACCCCATGAGTCCATGGAGAGCTGATAACTCTCACCCTTTATGCTGTTCCCAGGAGGGACAGCTTGGTAGTAGACCTTCTGGGGTTTGACTGTTACACTAGACCTGGATTTCTAAGCTTTAATGTGGTTGGTTCAGGAGAATTCTCCCCGGGAGAGATTAGCTCTTAAGAATCCCTGAGGCAGTCAGGGCCAGCCCTGGATGGCTGGAGAAGCTGCCCTTGCGCCTTAAGTCTACTGGTGCCGGATGGAGCCACCCTCACAGACCCTCACAGTGGGGCCAATAGGTCAGGTAAGCCTTGGACCCCCGAACTTGGAGTATCCTAGAAGGAGAGGTCCCCTTGTGAGCTCCCAAGATCTGTGTTCCTGGGAGTTGCCCAAGCTCATGATGGAGTTAGTAACACGATCATTCTCTGAGCAGAGGAGCGGGAATCCCTGCAAGCAGGAGGCTGGTTTCCGCTGGAAGGTGGATGCAGATAACTTTTATTAATGATGTAATTACTAAATGCACTTAAACCAGGGCGGCAAGGAGTAGGAAGGAGCTGGAAAGCTGAGTGGGCCTCAGCTTGGAGGGACACTAGCAGACAGGAAGACCCTGGTCCCCTCCAGATCAAAGTTCCTCTCTCCAGGCTTGGATCCATGCTCGGTGGGCCCCATCTCCGCCTCTCCCACCCCCGAGAGAGGAGTGGTGGGTTTGGGTTAAAAGATTGTACTCAAGTGACAGCTTCAGCATTTCTTAGCAGCACCTGCAGCATTCTGAGGTCACGTGCAGCTCCTGGAAAGAGTGCTGCAGTCGTTCAGCCACATGCCATGGGGTCAGCAGTGGGAGGGGAACGGCTCGTACCTTGTGGTATTCTGACCCTGGGGACACCTGGCTTTGCCTTTTCCAACCTCCCATTCTCAGCTCTAAACGGGAGGCCTTTCTATAGGGGAGCTGAGTCTGAGGAGCCTATGAACCACGGTGGGTCCTGCCATGATCTCAAAGCACTTATCCTCAGGATAGGGAAACAGCAGGGCTACCTTGCCCCCAAGCTTTCTCCCCGACTTGGCTCCACTCCTTCGTTCTGCCATAGGAATCATGGTCCCCCCAATGGGCCATGCCTGCCTTAAACCACTTTGTTCTGCCCTCCCACAGGGTAGTTCTTCCTGCAGTGCCTAAGACTGTCCAGCCCTCCGGCTTTTAGTAGCATGCTGGAGCTCCCTCACCAGAGGGGACGTGTTCTTGGACTGTGGCCCCTCAGTCTGTAACTGGAAAGTGACCCTCCACTACCCCTGGAGTCCATCTGGACACAGCCAGCCTAGGCCCATTGGCAGCTGCCTGTTCGCATACCTGGGGAGCAGTCCTCAGTGTGAGTTGGGGCCAAACGTGGGCTCCAAGCTGCTTGAGGGGGTCAACCTTGGACCAAAGTTGCCTTAAGCCCCAAGAATAAAAGGGCTTAGGGGGAGGTAAAAGGGCCACAGGTTGGAAGCTGACAGCCTGGCTGGTCCCCCGTTCCTCTCCCTTCTGGTGTGTTCCTATAGCCACTGGGCTAATCTCCCCTTGCTTTAAGCTGTATATTGGCCCCCAGGACAGACCCCTGCCCATGATTGACCCCTTAGTGGCCTGTGTGTTCCTAGTGTCTCCCTTGCCGTTAACTCCCCATCTTCTCCCTGAGCTCTGACTCCTATTTATCATGTACTCACTGACTCTGAGGAACGCAGAGGGAAGCCACTGGGCCTACTTGCTTCCTGTCCCCGAAACTGTCCTTTTCTTCTGAAGTAAATATACATATATAAATAAATGTATAAATACTGCTTTGTATCTGAACTTGCCTCCTGGCGTCTTCTTGAGATTGTTCTGATGGGAGGGGAGCCGTCTCAGGCCAAGCTGGCTAGGATCTAGTTTCTGAGGGGCCGAGAATATCCTGGCCCCCACACCAGAGGGCCCGAGAGCCATTCCAGATCTTCATGCCCCTCATTCTTGGATTTGAGGGTTGGGCTGGCCACATATACCTCCAGCAAACCTTCTCCACGAACCTGCCACTGCCCACCTAGAAAGAATCTAGCTAAGGGAACAGGTTGAGCCTAGAGGACCACAGTCCACAGAAGGGTGGCTGAGTTCAGAGAAGATTGGCCCAGGGTAAAATTGACTGGAGAAGTTTGTTCGAAAACAACTTAAAAGTAGGCCTGGACCCTTCCTATTGACAGGTAAGTCTCAAAGTAACGACAAGACGACACTGCACACAGCCCTGGCCCATGAAGAGAACACCAACTCCCAGCATCAGGTGAAAGGCAGCCAAGAAGTGGGAAAGGGTGGGAGTTTAACAGTCAAGGAGACCCCAGTGCCCCGCCGCTGCCCACCCCCCCCCCGAATGGACATGAGGCAGGTCTGTCACACGTCTGTCTTTATTGTAAACAGCAGGTGGGACACTTGTAGCAATGGTAAAAAATTAATTTACAAAAGCAGGGACTTGGTGAAGCTGCCTGGTGGGTACCTGGAAGAGGAAAGCAGAATTAAGAATGAGCCCAGTGACCTTCCACAGCCCCTCCCTGTAGCCCTGTGCTCCCTGAGGACAAGGGCTGTGCAAGAGTCCCTGAAGATGGTCACCAGAAGGGATCTTCAGTAACCTGTTTGGTGCTTATCTGTTTTAATTCCCAGATCCTTTCCAAGTCACTGGTAGGACTTGGAAGAACGCAGATGTAAAAACACAGGTAGCCCTCACCCACAGCCCTACCAAGTATACCCCAAAGCTCGAGTGAGGCCTTGAGTAATGTGGAGAACTCAGAACCAACACACCAGGTCACACTTGGCTCAAATCCCCAGCAGGGTGGGGAGCGACCTGATGTACCCCAGTGTTTCTGTCCCCATGACCCACTGATATGACTGTAGGAGGTTTCTTCAGGCATGTACCAGCTTGTTACAGCTCTTACCCTTGGGGACTCATACGTAGATGCCAACCCAGAGCAGGAGGAAGAGGACTCCAAAACCCATGAAGAGTGAGGCCACCAAGGAGATGAGGAGCTCTTTGTAAATATCACGTGTGTACTTGGTGGAGGTGACCTCGTAACTAGGAGGACAGTTAAGGAGAAGCAGAGAGAGCCGAGCAGGGGTGGCACACGCCTTTAATCCCAGCACTTGGAAGGCAGAGGCAGGCAGATCTCTGTGAATTCAAGGCCAGCCTGGTCTACAGAGTGAGTCCCAGGACAGCCAGGGTTACACAGAGAAACCTTGTCTCAAAAAACAAAAACAAGACAAGCAAAGATAGACTACAGTGAAGGAGCTGTCTAGGATTACTCAATGTGGGGAAACATAGGCTAAGGGCTTCCTGGGAGGCTTGTCTGGCTTGGTGCAGCCAGGCAGAGGGGGCCAAGAGATGACATAGGCTCTGATGCTCCACAGCACGAGGAAAAGAAGCCCACAGTGGTTAGGCCAATCACCTCTAATCACACCTTACTCATGGTACAGCTAAGACTAGGCACCAGACTTCCTGACACTCGAGCACATCCCTGCTTAAATCACCTTCCTGCTGGTGCAGTCGTAGATGCCTATAATCCCAGCACTCTCTAGAGGCTGAGGCAGGTCGACCCTTGTGAGTTTCAGGTCAGCCTTGTGAGTTTTCAAAACAAAACCAACCCCCTAAATACCAACAAACCACCTTTCGAACCTTAGTTCTGTCTCAAGAACAAACTGAACTAACGTAAAGTTGGAAACCAAGGCCATGGCCTGCCCTGAGCATCACCAGCCTCCTCCTATACTCACCTTGTCTCAACCCCACCTAAAGGAAAAAGTAGCAGGGTGTAGTCACCCAATGTGGTTTCTCCCTCAGTGCTTTGGCCACTAATTCTGGCTCCCTAGCTGTTCAGTAAAAGGATACACGAAGAACCAGGCGGTGAAGAACATGCCGATGGCCAGAAGTACCACAGTCAGGTGTGGGAAGACAGCCGGGTTGACCGGGCTGGTGTATCTGCTCATGGCCTCGAGCTCCTAGGGAAGAAAGGAGATCAATCTTAGTTTCAATCTGGGGAGACTCTGGAACAGCTATGTACTACTGAGACTGTTAGAGGCACACTTCAGGCCGGGAAATGGAGAACTCCTTCAAGTGATTCACTATGGGAATGGAAATTCCAATAATTGTGTGTGTGTGTGTGTGTAAGCATTTTTAAAGTTTATAAATTTAGCTCCTCTGCATGTGTGTGGGTGCAGCATGGGGAGGTCAAAGGACAACTTGCAAAGGCTGGTTTTCTCCTTCCATCATGTGGATCCCAGGGACTGACCTCAAGTCACCAGGCTTGACACAGCAGGCGTATTTACCTGCTGAACCATTTTGCAGGTCAGCCTCTCTACCCACTTTCTTTTTAAATTTGTGAGGGGGTTAAAGGACAACTTTCTCAGAGTCGCCTTCTGCTGTGTTTGAGGCAAGGTCTCTTTTATCTGTTTTTTTTTTTTTTTTTTTTTTTTTGGGGGGGGGGGTCACTGTGACACACACTCCAGGTTAGTTGGCCCTCAGGCTTCTGAGCACTTCTCCTGCTTCCATTTGCCATCTTGCTATGAGTTCCAGGATTACGACAACTGGTTTTTAAAAATAACGTGGGTTCTAGGATCCAAACTTAGGTTAGGCTTGCACACCAAACCCTTTTACACACTGAACCATCTCCCCAGCCTTACAATCACATCTTAAAGTAGGGATGTGACAGGCTGTGTGGTAGAAGATTTGCATAGTGTACATGAAGTCTTACGTGTGATCCCCAGCACTGGAAAAACAAAACAAAACAAAAACAGTAACAAAGCACGGAGGTGGCAGCTTTTCTTTCCATGAGATAAGAAGAGAAGCTGAGTCAGAGGCTCAGGTATAGAAAGGGATAGAGATAAATAGCTCTTAGGATTTTCTGGCCAGTGACCACTAAGACAATCATGGATCTGTCTGGAGAAAAAACACATAAAGAAAAAACTTGCCCACATTCTCCACTGCTTTTGGACCTGTGTCCAGACTCTAAAGCACCAATCTGTGCAGGAAGCCAAAGCCTAGCACTTAGATCTCAAGTTCTAATTCAGAACTCTTTTCGCTACCTTGGGGGGAACTGCAGGGACCTCCTGGCAGAAGACAACTGTGATAATGATGGCTTTACTGAATCATTGGAGTCTGAGTTAAGTAGTTATAACAGTACTTGTTTCACAGGTCTGATGCATGATTGGAGAAAGATGATAAATGTTGACACATCTAGTTTACTGCCCGGCATAGAGTAACTGCTCAATAGGTATTTGTTTCCTTCCTAAGGTTGCAGAGAAGATTATGAGATAATGCCCGTGAAAGGGCTAAACGTAAAGTTCTGTACAAATGTTAACTTCTATTGTCACTTGCCAGCCAATGCTTCTAAAGTCCAGAACATAACAACTCCCGAGAAGTAAACTGAACCCATTGTTCTAAGAGACACAGGAATTCAATTCAGTAAACAATTATGTTCCCCTTGCCCCCCTAAAAAAGCCAAAGACAATTGCGGCCATTTATGGAGCCTCCAATTGCAGGCCCAGTGTTTGGCAACGGGAATACAAAGATGAATAGACATCATCCCAGAACTAGATGCAGTCACTAGGAGGCGTGGCAGATAAAAGAAGTCCATGAAACGTGGCAAGAGGCGTATAGAGACTGAGAGCTCCCAGCAGACCGACAAGTAAGTGCCTGTGAGGGTTGCAAGTGTTTCACCAGGTAATGAAATGTACCCAAGGGCCTTGCAGGATGAGTTCAGCAGGGGAAACTTTCCAGAGAGCGACAACTGATCACAGGAAAGAGAAATAAAAGCGCAAAAGTATTCAAAGTGCACCCCCACGCCCCTCAGCCTTATAATCAACGATATCATAAGGCCATTGTGATGGAAACCTCAGTCTGAGAAATCCATGACAAGGGGCTGGCTTTCCCCGTCCCCTAAGTCAAACATGGGATCCAGCAGCGACCCACCCTCGGCACACGGAATGCTGAGGGCTCCGCGGAAGAACGCGGTGTGGACCGGACACCCAGGAATCCTGGCCCACAGCCTTGTCCACAACTCCCACCATCTCACCATTTTGCCCCGCACAGGATAAACCACCGGTCCACCACCACCGGAAGAACACGTCGGCAGGAGCAAGCGCGTTGAGCAACAGGAAGAGGATGTAGTCCCTCCAGCGTGGCATTGTGGGATTTGTAGTCCCGTGGTTTCAGATATTGCGGTAACTGGGACCATGAGGACTTGGTGTGAGTGGCGTGGGGTCGGACTATGGGGGAGGGTAGTGCAGGGTCTCTGTTTTAATCCGTTTTTCCCGGAAATAAGACCCACTACGAAAGCTGCTGTCTGAAGTGGCGAGGGTCTGCACTACATTTCCCAGGAGTCTGTTCGCGGCGGCGGATCACGTGACCGGAGCGCGGGCTTTGGAAGGCGGCGAAGCTGGAAAAGGCTTTGGTTCGGCATCAGAAGCGCGGGCTCGGGACTGTCCTGAGGACGCTGGGAACCCCGGACCACCACTAGTTGCCGACGCTTCGGGCAGTGGAGGTAGGGGGAGGCCTTGCGGAAGCGACTCTGAAAGCGGCGAGTATCGCGGGAGCAGCACCAGGCGGCCCCGGCCTTGGACCTTTGGCGCTGCTGCGAGCCTCCCTCTCTTCACCGGTAGGAAGGCGATAATCTTCCCCTGTGAGGACTCAGGCCCTGGACCAAAACCACTAGAGACGACTTGTTCAGTCCCCTTTCCTGCCTGAGTCTGCGGGGTACTGCGAGAGGAAGACGGCTATCTGGGTATTGCTAGGTTTGGGGGAGAAACGGGGTTCGAGAGAGGCGAAGAGTTTGTTAGCTGGCAGTTCGGGGGCTCCGACGCAGAACCTCCGCCCACCGGGAGAGACCAGAGCCTGTACTCCGGGGCCCTTGTGTAGGGAGCGGGGTGGTTTTGTACCTCTAAGGAAATGGGTTCAAGGTCTGCTGACATCACGAGATACTGCTTTCTTCTTTTCTTTTTTTGGGAGGGTGGGCGTGGGGTTATTGTTGTCAAGAGACACTGTGCTTATGTTGTTGCTTGTAGACGAAGCTGGTTTCTTTTTTATAATTTTATATTCAGTGGTGTTTTGCCTGCATGTATGTCTGTATGAGGGTCTCAGAAGTCCCGGAACTAGAGTTACAGACAGGTGTGAGCTGCCATGTGGGCGCTGGGAGTTGAACCCGGGTCCTCTGGAAGAGCAGCCAGTGTTCTTAGCCCCTGAGCCATCTCTCTAGCCCCCGAGACACTGTGCTTTCTTATATTTCTGGCCGGGGGGTGGTGGTGGTGCTGGAAAAGCCCTAGGGACATTTCTGGATAAAGGAAGTCTGAAAGATTCTGAAGAACTGGACCCAGTTAATACGGTGATCAGTTGACCTTGGGGCAGGGTTTTTTTTATCCTCCCTACAGCCATTCCATTTAAGGCTTTGCCATCTGGAAGGTGGCAGGGCGGAGATGGTATCAGGACAGAACAGGTTCCCCTCTGTGTGACACTGGGCACTGTCTTGTACTTACTGTAGCAAAGCAGTAAGTGAAGTGTGAACCAGAGGGCTGAATGGGGAACATCGACACAGCATCTGGTGATGTGTGCTTTCCATCTGGTGTGTCGCTTGACCAGTTCTGCAAAGCAGAAATGATTCTTCTTGTTTTACAACTCAGACCACAGAAGCAGTGACTTAATTGTGTTTCACAGAGCCGAAGATGCGGCTCAGTGCAGAGCACTGGCATGTGTGAGGTCCGAGGTCAGTCCCCATTGTTACACACACGCTCAACACACCAAGTGGTTTCACATATGGTGGCTGGATTCAAAGCTGGGCATTTGATTTGATTTCTAGTGCCAGGGCACCAACCCGGAACTTCAGCTGTACCAGTGAGCTGCAATCCTCAGCCCTAAGGCTGACCTTTTGCTGCTTGTATTCATGGGGGAACCACAGTAATACAAACCAGGAAGAAGTGAGAAAGGATGGCAGGAAGATGACACAGCTGAGCAAGAGAGAGGCAGGGCTTTCCATTAGGTTTCCCTGCTGCACAGGTAGATGCCTCAGCTGCCATTCGTGCTGAGGTATTGGGGCGGGGGGGGGGGGGGGGGGGAGGGGGGGATGGAGGGAGTATAAGTGTCACTTAGGTTTCAGAAAAGAATTGATAAGATTTTCTTATTGTGTGCAAACACTATCATTGGGCAAGCAAAATGACCTTGGTAAACTGTATTAGAAAATCCTTTCATTATGCATTTAACACAAAAAATGACTGATATATGCAGACAACCCCCCCCCCCCCAAGACAGGGCTTTTCTGTGTGTATTCCTGGCTGTCCTGAAACTAGCTTTGTAGACGAGGTTGGCCTTGAACTCACAGAGATCCAACTTGAACTCACAGAGATCCGCCTGCCTCTGCTTCCCGAGTGCTGGGACTAAAGGTGTGCACCACCACTGCTCAACACATGCAGATATTTTTGCTTAAGGTGGATTCTCTTTCCCAACTTAAGGTTTTGTTGGTTTTTTTGAGACATGGTTTCATTGTAACCCTGGCTGGCCTGGGACTTGCTGTATAGACTAGGGTGGCCTTGAACTCAGATCCACTTGCCTCTGCTTTCCAAGTGCTAGGATTAAAGGCATGTGCCATTGCCCAGCAGTGGTGGAACACACCTTTAATTCAAGCACTCAGGAGGCAGAGACAGGCAGATCTCTGTGAGTTAGAGGCCAGTTTGGTCTACAGAATGAGTTCTAGGACATCTGAGGCTACACAGAGAAACCCTGTCTCAACCCCCCCCCCCCCCAGGCATGTGCCGTCACTCACAAATTGCCCCCCCTTTCCCTTTTATTTTCATTAGAGTCCATTTAAAGAAAAATATTAGATGAAGGGAAATTCTATTACATTTGGGAGGGGCAAAAATTGTGAGGGTAGTTTGGAAACACTGCCCCAGGAACAATTTGATGAAAGTCTTGAACCACAGAATTGCAGTACTGGGTAGTGTGAGTCCAGCTTGCCAGCCCTTAATCAGAACCTGTGGTAGGAGTCGTGAGGCTCACGTTTCAGACTTAGTGGTGGGAAGAAAGCACAAAGAGGAGGACTTCAAACTCCTCCAGCATCCTGCTGAAACTGACTCAGAGGGATGCTGAGGGAGGGATAGCACGTGTGAGACAGCCCCTGGTCCTCATTCAGAAGGGGGTCCTTCAGGGCTGCTGCGTCCCTCAGGTATCTGCAGAGAAACAATCAGGGCCGTATTTGCATAGCTGGTGTTTACCTGCTCCTGAGGGCACACTTCTGCCGTATGAACTCAGAGTCCTTCAGGCTGAGCCACGCACTCTTGTCTTCTGTGATCCTTGATGAGGATGAACGGTGAAGTCCTTTGTGTGACAGCTTGTGCCGTTGTTATTTGGAGCCCTTAAGTTATTCGGGGACATCCAGGGTCTCATCCCCAAAGCATCAGATTAGCTCCTGGTCTTTGGGAGGTGCTAAAGGGGTGCACTGTAGATGTCTTGAGAGTGGTGCATCTTGTTCACCTTTGCATCTTCTGCCTCGGAGCCTTGTTTTTCTTGTTAAATTTGATTAAACGTGAAATTGGTGGATGTTGCCAGTTATGACCTTTGTTCCTTTTGTCCTCCGAGATCCCCTCTTATTTCTCTCTCTTTGTTTTAGCCATCGCTCCTGTGTTACCATGGGAATTCAAGGCCTTGCCAAACTAATTGCTGATGTGGCTCCCAGTGCCATCCGGGAGAATGACATCAAGAGCTACTTCGGTCGCAAGGTGGCCATTGATGCCTCCATGAGCATTTACCAGTTCCTGATTGCTGTTCGTCAGGGTGGGGATGTGCTGCAGAACGAGGAAGGGGAGACCACCAGCCACCTGATGGGGATGTTCTACCGTACCATCCGCATGATGGAGAACGGCATCAAGCCTGTCTATGTCTTCGATGGCAAACCACCACAGCTGAAGTCAGGTGAGCTGGCCAAACGAAGTGAGAGGCGCGCTGAGGCCGAGAAGCAGCTGCAGCAGGCCCAGGAGGCTGGGGTGGAGGAAGAGGTGGAAAAGTTCACCAAGCGGCTGGTGAAGGTCACCAAGCAACACAATGATGAGTGCAAACACCTGCTGAGTCTCATGGGCATCCCGTACCTCGATGCACCCAGTGAGGCGGAGGCCAGCTGCGCTGCCCTGGTGAAGGCTGGCAAAGTCTATGCTGCAGCCACGGAGGACATGGACTGCCTCACCTTTGGCAGCCCCGTACTAATGCGACATCTGACTGCCAGTGAGGCCAAGAAGCTGCCCATCCAGGAGTTCCACCTGAGCCGAGTCCTGCAGGAGCTGGGTCTGAACCAGGAGCAGTTTGTAGACCTGTGCATCCTGCTGGGTAGTGACTACTGCGAGAGTATCCGGGGCATTGGGCCCAAGCGGGCCGTGGACCTCATCCAGAAGCATAAGAGCATTGAAGAGATCGTGCGGCGGCTGGATCCCAACAAGTACCCTGTTCCAGAAAACTGGCTCCACAAGGAAGCTCAGCAGCTCTTCCTGGAGCCTGAGGTGCTGGACCCCGAGTCTGTGGAGCTGAAGTGGAGTGAGCCAAATGAAGAGGAGTTGGTCAAATTCATGTGTGGGGAAAAGCAGTTTTCTGAGGAGCGAATTCGCAGTGGGGTCAAGCGACTGAGTAAGAGCCGCCAGGGCAGCACCCAGGGCCGCCTAGATGATTTCTTCAAGGTGACCGGCTCACTCTCCTCAGCTAAGCGCAAGGAGCCAGAACCCAAGGGGCCTGCCAAGAAGAAAGCCAAGACTGGGGGAGCTGGGAAGTTCAAGAGGGGAAAATAAACGTGTCCTCCCCTCCATTGTCCCCGGACCCGATGCCTGCTTCATACCCTCATCGTTCGCTCCTCTTCTGGAAGAGAGGCTGCTTCTTCCCAGAACTGCCTTCAGAGCCTCCCCTTCCTTGATGTTGCGGCAGGAAGGACAGCTTTGCTTGTCCTCATTTTTAGCTCAGGAATGATGTCAGGCTCAAACCACTTCTCAGGCAGGTTATCGGACACTGCACCCATTGTGCTGTGAAATTGAAAGCAGCACGTTTGAAAGAAGCAGATAAAGATGGTCTGGGGGGGAGTGTGGGAGAGGATTCCCTGGCTGGCCGCTGTGGGTGGGGTGACTGTAGACCTTGACTGTTCTTCAGCCCCCAGCCCAGGCTTAGCTGATGGAAGGAGGAGCTGTGAGAAGGGGCAAGCAGCCAGGCATCGGCTGACAGCGGCCTCGATTACTGACTGCCTGTGTCTTGTGGGTCTCCGGTGCTTTTTCAGGGGAGGGAAGAGGCAATGTTGTAGGTTTGGGTTTGTAGTTTTGTTTTTGTCCCGTTCCTCTCCAGTGCTGGGAACTGAACCCAGGGCAAGGCAAGCAAGCAAGCAAGCAAGCATACCACTGACTGTAGCCCTGAGGGACACTGTTCTGATGGCCTTTCTGAGGCAATCAATTGAATTGAGGTTTTGGGAGAAGCAGCTATTGTTCATGTGCTATTTCTATTTTAATAGATGTGAAGAGAAAAAAAATCAATAAAATTATAAAAGTGACTGACCAGAATGTGGTGTTCTTTGAGGACATTTGAAAACACCCTTAGTGCTTCAGGTTCCTGTAGAATATAATGATCTCCTTTTCCCACTAAAATTGGGTGACAGGCTGGGATTGCTCTGGTAACAAGTGGTTTGTTTGAGAGTGACCACAAGGTGGCGCCATATCCCGTGTAATGTGGCCACAGCAGCTATGGTGGCACCGGCCTTTTGTGCTTCAGTTTTAATAGCTTGGCTGGATTTCACATGCTCCACCTAGTCGGAGGTAAAGGAGTCCCTTGAACAGTCTTGTAGTTTAGATCAACTTTCTCATAACATCCAGGCAGTTTGTTTTGCACTTGGTGAATAGCTGCCATTCAGAAACCTTTTTCCTATTGAGATTTCGGGTTCTCAGGATGAATGTGTGAAAGTTTTAGATGCATTGGGGTTCTCTAGAGGAACAGGCAGAATGCGTTGCATATATTGAAAGGGGTTCATTAGAGTGGCTTACAGACTGGTCCTGCTAGTCCTAACAATGAGTGTCTGGCAAAAAGGCCAAGAATTCAGTAGAGTCCACAAGGGACATTTCAGCTGGTCTTCAGGCTCCATGAAGAATCCTAAAGAAGCAGGTTCTGATACGAGAAGGAATGTCTCAGGGAGAGAGGGTGCACAGGCAAGGAGCAAAAGCTTCCTTCCATGTGCTTTTGTGTGGGCTGCCGCTAGAAAGTATGGCCCAGAATTAGGGTTGGTCTTCCTACCTCACATCCTCCACACAGATGTGCCCAGCTGCTTGGGTTTTAGTGGATTCCAGATGTGATCAAGTTGACAACCAAGGTCAGCCATGTAAAGCTTAGTGGGGAGTTAGCCTTTGGTTCTGATTTTACAGTTCTGTTGATAGCACACAACTCTATTGGTTTTCAAGTCCTTAAAATTTAATTTTATTATATGGTGGGGACAGGTGTGTGTGTGAGAGCACGTGTGTGTGGAGGTCAGATTTCAGGGATCTTCTCCACTGCGTGTTAATGAAGATTGAATTTAAGTTGTCAGGGTTTTTACCTGCTGTGTCTTTGTACAATGGCTTTCCATCTCCTCCCTAGTGTGGTGTCGTGTCCCCCCCGCCCCCCCAGCACACATACACAGATACACAGAGTCTTGCTATGTAGCCCTGGCTGGCCTGGAACTCTAGTAGACTGGGTAAGCCTTGAATCAGTATTTTCTAAGTGAAGTCTTGGGTGAATGAATGTAGACACTATAAGTTGTATCCTGAGGGCAGCGTGGAAGTGACTGCCAGAGTCAATCGAGCTGCACTTACTTGAGTTTTTTTGATTCCACAATCTGATTCTAGATCTGCAGTGGCAGTGAGCTAAGTGCGTGCCCGGGCTGCACTCGCTGCCTCAGCCCAGCGGCTCTTAGGGGCTCGGGCACCCTGTGGTCAGCAAGCACTTAGAGTTCTGGCCTCTTTAAATTTGAACTGCTTAGCCTTTGCCAAGGTTCCAGGTGTGTGCTTGTTGTGATGTTTCACTCAGGACAGCTGTTTAAGCACAATGAAGAGCTGAGAGGCATTGCTCTGCACTCTGACTGAGGCAGCATTGGCAGAGACAGACAAACGGGACTCGAAAGTATAACCATTTCAAAGTTAGAAATGGGCTTAAAGGGGGGAATGACCCAAATGGAACGTTGGAGGGCGAGGGTGGGGACATTGGACGGCGACATCCATGAGCTGGCCGGCATACCTCAGCAGCACAGCATCTCCACAAATGGGTGTCACGGGAGGAACCTGGCTTTGTCACTTACACAATCCTGCCCAGGTTATACAAGGGAACTGGCAGCGATCTCTGTTCCCAAGGGAGCTGAGCACACAGCGGGGTGGGGACTTAGAGCCGCAGCACCAGGGAATGGTATGTACATTTATATGTGTACATGTTCCTGCATGTCTGAATGTCAGAAAGGCCAGAGGTCAATATCAAGTATCTATCTTAGCCACTCTCCTATTTTTAGAGGCAGGGTCTTTTACTGAACCGGAAGCTCACTGATTTGCCTAAGGTGGCTGATCAGCAAGCTCCAAGGGTACACCTTGCCCTATGCTGAATTATAGACTACATCTGGCTTTTACATTTGACACATCTGGGCCCCGGGGATCTGAACTCAGGTCCTCAGGCTTGGACAGCAGTGTTTTACCAGCTGAGCCAGCTCCTCTGCCCTGCACCAGGGAACTGGTAGACATGTGCAGACAAGCAGTGTGGATTTTAAATGAATAACAACATTCTTTGGTCGAAATTAATTTTTATTTTTTAGTTTCATCAGGATGTCATAACGGCATTGGCACACACAGACACTGACATTAGGCCCAATTAAAGGAAATGCCTTCGGCCAGGAAGTAGACGAAGGTAATCAAGATAAACATGGAAGCTGGAGTTAACAAGGTTACACGTTCAGATGCCACTATCTCCATGAGCAGAGGTGACTTTCCCTCTGATCCTGTTTTCTTATCTTGTCAGTGGAGTTGAGACACCTCGCTTTACCACTGTAACGTTCTTATCACTCAGCGTCCCCTGCGGCGACGCAAAAGCCACAGTGAAGGGAGGGGAGGCCGCGGTGGGTGGTTCGGGCGCTCTGAGGACCTGGTCTGGGTACAACTGAGCTCGCTGGTATTTGTTCTGACTGGCAGCTGAAGGCTCAAAGGCAGTGGCTTGGCAGGCTGGCAGCGCCACACCCTTACCCCAGGTGGCAGGGAGGCAGGCATGGCGAGGGACAGCACCTCTTCTGGAGGGAGGGGAGCCACTAAGGGTAGCACTCTGATCCTGACTTCCCTACCCAGCCTGCTCCAGACGTTTTTCTAGCAGGGCCAATCGCTGGGAAAGCTCTGCGCTCTTCTGTAACCTGCCCTCCCTGGGCACTGTACTGGAAACTCAAGGAACCCCGCATGTCAGCACGCCGTACCCCAACATCCTTTACCCAGATGCCCCGATCTTGACCACCCGCCGTTTCTCCATAGAGGTGTTGCGCTCTGCCTTCTGCTTGGGGCTCTCTAATTTCAGACAGATGGTCAATATGCTTTGAGTAGATACCTGATGAGCAGGCAACGGAATAATTCCGTGCGTTTGGGGAACGAGAGCGTGGACGTGGATGTGCAGGGTTAGGCTCTCCGGACATGTTCCTGTGTTCTCTGGAAGGGTGAGTTAAACTGTTCCTAACTTTTACAGAATCAGAAGATTACAAAACCCTATTTCACTGTTAGACACTCTTTGTCAGAAGCCGTCCTGGATTCCTGTCTGGCCTCCGGAAGAATAAGACACTTGAACAAGTAGAAAGAGGAACCGCAGCAGCGGTGGCATTCACAGACCTGAGAACCCTCCTGTCTGTGACATGGAACCGTGCCGTGCAGTGCTGGAACATGACCTGGGACAGGGATGGCGCTGCTCAGAGCGCTGACACTCACGACAGAAGCCTCAGCCACTTGTGCTGATGGCTGTTAGAATGACAGGCTGTGACAGAAAAGGAAACTATGGGAATTGTCCAGGAGGAGGAAAGCCCCTTCCTTGTGTTGATTTAAAAATCAACAGATTTTTAAAGGCCAGTAACTCTGCCATCTATTTTGTCAAGAGCTAGGATCTCCTGTTCTCTCTGGAACCTGGATGGAACAGGAAACCAGGATTACTCGTGCCAGGATCCTCCAGGGACAGATGCCTCCCAAACCATAGTCCTGGCCTTTGCCCTGCCTGCTTCTGAAACTGAAAAACAGCTTCTCCCAGAAGCCGGAGGCGGCCATGGTCACACCCAGCTCTCGGCAGCTAACTAAGCTCCCGGGCAGGGAGCTGTGCCAGGCTTCAGGATTCTACGCATGAATGCCCCCTTTCTAAATCTTGTTCAAAGGGGTCACACTGGCCCAGAGACTAACAGGGAGGGTAGAGAGTCAGAGACACAGCCCAGGGAGATGGGCTCACACTTTACAAGGGGGGAGTTCTAGGGCGGGGTCCCTGCTTCATGCCGGGCTCTGGAGGTCCCACCATTTGCCTCTGCCAACATTGAAGAAACAACAGAACAGCTTTGCATCCCTACCCCAACAGTTCTCCCTCAAGTTTGGTACCTAGAAGGCAAGGGGACAGGTGTGAGCACACACATCCGCGTCCCCAGCCCTTCCAACATTCGATTCATAGTGGCATTGCCCCTCAAGCTCCCTCTGCTTTGGCTCCAGTGTCCTCTTCCTCTCCCAGACGGAGGAGGACTGCCGCCGCTATTGGTGAAGATAGGCGTCCAACCAGAGCTGCCCCGACTCCTTCAGTGAGCTGTAGGACAATAGGAGCAGACAGTGAGAGAGGTGGGGGCTGCGTCATCCACCTGCAGACACGTCCCCTTCCCCTCAGATGCTTTACCACCCCTGCTTAGTTAGAGGTCGCCGGCCTGGTCACAGGCCAACACCACCCTGCCGTTGCCATGGTGATGCCATTGCAGATGACCAGGAACCCACCCCACTCCGTGCCACATGCCCATCACCCTGCTGCCCACTCCCCAGGCTCAGACTCACTAGACGATGTCGGCAAAGGCTGAGAACAGGGGCTTGGACTTGTACTTGATGCCGTACTTGGCGCACAGGGATTGCACCAGGGGCGCCACTTTGTGGTAGTTGTGTCGGGGCATCGTCGGGAAGAGGCTTCAGGGACAGCAGGGTAGTTAGTGGCCTCTGCTCCTCTGCCCCTCCCCCCCGCCCCCCCCCCCCCCCCCCCCCCCCCCCCCCCCCCCCCCCGCCTTCCGGCTCTCCCCACTCACTGGTGCTCGATCTGGAAATTGAGGTGGCCGCTGAACCAGTCGTTGAAGGCTGACTGGTGAACGTTACAGGTCGCCTGCAGCTGGGGGGGAAAGTCAAGGGAGGGCGGACTCTGTGAGAGTGCCCAGTCTTCCCTAGGGAGGCTCTCCGGAACTGTCCCCTATCCCTCTGGTCACCCCCTTCGGTCCACCACCCACCCTTCTCAGTAGCTGTGGCATGTCCAGGTCTTCCAAGTGACGGTCCCTTACCTGGGTGGAGACCCAG